CTATAGCAGATTATGATTCAGAGTTACAGAAAAACTAATGAAACAAACTCCCCTTTGAGGATTGTATATAATCATACAATTAATTAATTATACAAAAGCCAGGTTTAAGACTACAACAAAATGTACATGAAAATCACAGAATGTAAAAGTAGCAGTAAAGGGGCTGGTGTTGTGGCATAGAAGGTTAAGCCTTCGCCTTCAGTGTTGGCATCCCATATGGGTTCGAGTCCTGGCTGCTCCACTTCTGATCCAGCTCCCTGCTAATGGCTTGGGAAAGCAATGGAAGATGGCCCAAGTCCTTGGGCCCCTGCACCCACGTGGGTAGCCTGGAAGAAGCTTCAGGCTCCTTGCTTCAACTGGCTCAGCTCTGGCCATTGCATCCATTGAGGAGTGAATCAGTGGATGGACGACCTCCCTTTCTCTCTCTCTGCCTCTGCTTCTCTGAAACTCTGCCTTTCAGATAAAAAAAAAAAAAAGCAAAAAAAAACCAAAAAAAAAAAAACTTAAAAAAAAGCAGTAAAAACTAGAACTTTCTTAAAATTATTAAACTTGATTTCAAAAAGAATTTAAATGTAAAGTTCTAAAACTATAAGGTCTTTACAAATTTTAACAAGATAATCACTCTACTCAGAAATTATTTCCAAAAATTTTTGCTGTTTAAAAGTAATGATTGGCCGGCGCTGCAGCTCAGTAGGCTAATCCTCCGCCTGCGGTGCCAGCACACCGGGTTCTAGTCCGGTCGGGGAACCGGATTCTGTCCCGGTTGCCCCTCTTCTGGGCCAGCTCTCTGCTATGGCCCAGGAGTGCAGTGGAGGATGGCCCAACTGCTTGGGCCCTGCACCCGCATAGGAGACCAGGATAAGTACCTGGCTCCTGGCTTCAGATCAGCGCGGTGCGCCGGCCACAGCGCGCTGGCCACAGCAGCCACTGGAGGGTGAACCAACAGTAAAGGAAGACCTTTCTCTCTGTCTCTTTCTTTCTCACTGTCCACTCTGCCTGTCAAAAAAATAAAATAAAATAAAAAATAAAGTAATTATTAAACTTACCAATAAACTCCAGGCAATCTTTATGAATAGTATTCTGTTCTGGCAGATCTAAAATACCATCCCATGATGCCAAACTGTCACCTTTTCCTGCAACATTCAGAGCAATCTGGAAGAAAGATTTTTTTAAAAAAAACAACTTGTTCCATATATTATCTCTCATTCTTAGGAAATATACTACAATAGTGAAAGGCCTGAATTTAGGACTAACAACAAAGATCACAAAGAACCCAATGATCAGCACTTGGTCTCATTAAAATAAACGAACAAAGGAGGTGGTTATTGGTGCAGCAATTAAGATGCCATTTGGATGCCAGGATTCTTTATCAGAGCATATAGGTTTGAGTACTGGCTCTGCTTCTGATTCTAGCTACTTGTTAAGCACACCTTGGCAGGCAGCAGGTGATAGTTCAAGTACTTGGGTCCCTGCCACCCACATGGTAGACCCAGACTGAAACTATTGTAGGCATTTGGGGAATGAACCAGTAGATGGAAGACCTCTGCTTTTGTCTCTCTGCCTTTCAGGCAAATAAATTAAAAAAAAAAAAAAATGAACACAATCAGGCTGGCAATGTAGTATAGCAGGGTAAGCCACTGCCTACAATGCCAGCAACCACTGGTTTGAGTCTCGGCTACTCTACTTTTTTTTTTTTGACAGGCAGAGTTAGACATTGAGAGAGACAGAGACAGAGAGAAAGGTCTTCCTTCCATTGGTTCACCCCCCAAATAGCTGCTAAGGCTGGAGCACTGTGCCGATCCAAAGCCAGGAGCCAGGTGCTTCCTCCTGGTCTCCCATGCGGGTGCAGGGCCCAAGGACTTGGGCCATCCTCCACTGCATTCCCTGGCCACAGCAGAGAGCTGGCCTGGAAGAGGGGCAACCGGGACAGAATCCAGCGCCCCGACCGGGACTAGAATCCAGTGTGCCGGCACTGCAAGGCAGAGGATTAGCCTACTGAGCCG